ACCAGATGGTGCATGGCCCCTAGCCCCTGGCCCAACTCATCAGCGGCCTGAGTCAGCACCAGTGCATTGACATGGTGGAGAAAATCTGGGGGCTCATGGCAGACAGCACCCAGCTGGAAGCTGACAAACTGGCCCTTCCAATGAGCCCTAGCCTCTGCCCCAGCGGGAGACTGGAGAACAATGCCATGCTCCTCATGGTGGAGCTGTTGCCTCTGGACAAGAACAAGGGCTTCTTCATGGACAAGTCCGATCCCCTGCTCCGCTATGACTCCATGTCCAGCGGGTCCTTAGTGTTGGGCAAAACGGGCTCCTTCATTATCAAAGAGAAGAAAGACATGGTGCTGCGGCAGGTGCACCTCGACCCCTGAGACTTGTAGTCCATCTCTGACGACATGCTGCACATCCTGAACCCCGAGGAGCTGTGGGTGATTGAACAGATCCTCTAGGCCGAGGACAAGCTCGACCGTCTGTTTTGAGATCAGTGGGGTCAAGAGCCAAGAAGCCAGCCAGATGCTGCTGGATTCTGTGTACAGCCACCTTCCCGACCTGTTGTAGAACACACCGGCATCGCGCTCTGCAGATTGACTTGGTGGCAGGGTGGTTTCGTTTGGTTTCTGCTTCTGGTTTTGGTATATGTGTGTGTTTAACAGTCTATGGCCGGTGTAGAGTATTTTTCTTTTCTCGCCTTTTTTTCTTTTTCTAAATCCTCTAGGTAATTAGCTTATAACCCTTTGCAAAGTATAACTGTTGCAAATTTCTATAAGTTCCACTTTCGCTGTTTTTGCTTTATGATTCCAAATTGTTCTGTGCACTTTAAATTCACATAACTGACCATAAATGCAATGTGACTTTTCCTACACACTGGATTGTGAAGCTCTTCTTAAAGTGTTAACGGCATCTTGTGGATTCTATAAGCAGTCTTCATATCTTTTCAACACCCCTGTCTACATCTTAAAAAAAAAAAAAATATATATATATATGTATAGGGGAAAATAATAATTTCACCTACAATCTGGTATATCCTATATGGAAAATAATACATTTTAAAATTAAAAACGCTTATAACTTCTGACCCAGATCCTGTTGAGTTACTATGTAATAGAGTCCATGTATTACATTGATAATCCATGTTGCACACCTCATATTCATGGCTGAAACTTGACCATATCATAATGGGGCTAAAATTTTTTTGTTAAATTAACTTACAAACTAGGAGGAAAATGATAAAATACAATATTGGCATTCTGTATCTATTTTGCTTTGCACATTGCAAATTGCCACATACATGCTGCTTAAAGCTCACATTTAGGTATTTATTCCTCTTTCCATCCCAGATTATCTCCTATAGGCAACCAGAGGTTGAACTGTGTACTTGAGGATAAGAAACTGGGTTCCATGACAGAGCTAGAAAATAGATGTGAGTTGTGGAGCTGGTATGTTCTAAGAGGCAAACATACCAAGACTGGGGAGCTGTATTGCTCTCACAATACGATCTCTCTATCTACACTTGGCATCTGACCCATATATCTAACCTTTGGCCACGCTGAGCTTCTCCAAGTCTCAACGCCTCACACATGACTTTCCCTCATGCTAGCAGCTCTTTGCAGTTTAACTCTAACTCAGTACTAGTGGTCTCAGCTAAATATTATTTCTCACAAAATCCTGCCCGTCCTCTCCCCACTCCTCCCTGCCAGTGACCCCATTATGTTTCTCATAGTTCCCTCTGCCGTCCTCTGCAGCATGTACCATAACTGTAATTTAGTTTTAATGATCAATAGATAATTATTATCTTTTTTTTGTCTGTCTCCTTTGTCATCCTGTATGCTAAGTACATGCTCTGTACTGAGCTACACTCCCCAGCCCTTAATCTTTTAAATGTAATGTATTTTAAAAAGACCATTCCAAAGGCAACCTTTTGTATCTGAATAAGCATAGGTTTTACCAAAAGGCATAGATCTAAAAGCCTGCCTCCCTAATTTGCTGCAGGTAGATTAGCTTCCATAATTGTTCTGATTTTAATTGTTCTTAATTTTATATGTACATATATCCAAATCCAAATATCTGAAATCCAAAAATATTTACAGTCCTATTTCAGATAAGAGATACTCAATCTGTATTATTATTAAATAAAGAAAAAAGGGCATAAATATAGCATGGAAGGCATAGCCCTCACCCTGGATTAAGGCACAAACATAGCTCCCCTTATACAAACACGCTATTATAAATTTGAATAAAACAAATACATATATATTTAATAAAACAAATATACTTGTTTTAATATAAAATGAATTTATATTAAAATAAATATATCATATACTCAAGAAAAATATATATATAACAAAATTTAAACTGTAGAGAACTGTTTTACCCAATCAGAAAAATCCAGAGGTAGGGCAGGTTATGATTACTTTGATTAGGTTTTCAACTTAATTTTTCTGAGATAGCAGTCCTCCATGTACTGGCTTATCTTCAAACTGACTTCCTTTTTTGACAGTAAGATGGCTTCTAATACTGAGGCTATCTATACTACTGAACTGAAGTCCTCAACTTCACTCAGAATAGACAGATTATTTAGAATCACTATGTCCAAGTGACTGCCAGACCAACTGACTAGAACTAAGGTTATAGGTTCATTTAGTGAATGTCTGTTATGACATAAACTTCCCTTCTCAAATTCCCTTGTAGCTATGTCTTTTTTTTTTTTTTTTTTTTTTTTTTTTTTTGAGACAGAGTCTCATTATGTAGTTCAGGCTGGCTTTGAATTCACTATATAGCACAGGTTGGCCTTGAACTTGTAGCAATCCTCTTACCTCAGTCTCCCAAGTACTAAGATTACAGGCATACACTACCATGCCCGGCTTTGTAATTATGTACTTAATGTACAACTTTAAAACACAGTTTAAGTATAATTCTTCACTGCCTAATGTTTCAGTCAATCATAGACCACATAGATGACAATGGTCCCACAAGGCTGTATCACCCAGTAATATAGCTTGCTTAGTCTGTGTTTAGTATATTCTGCAATGTTTACACAATGATTAAGTCACCCAACAACACACACAGTGTATACCACAAATGAACACGTTTTAGAGTTTCTACAAGATTTCTAGTTAAACTATAACCCAGAAAAAAAAAAATTAGAAGATCCTTTCCAATGTTATGGTTTTTTTTTCAGAGTCTGTGTTTTCTACAATAAAAGAAACTTCTATTTCATTCATTAACCAATGTAATGGTTAAAAAACACTATATAAACCCAAAGTAGTACCAAACATTGCAAAGGAAAAAACAATTTATCAAATTAGGTAATCTTGTCTCCCAAAAAAAGATAATTTCAGCAAAACACAACTCATGTACATCAATTTGTATTATACAATCCCTTTAAAGAAGCAAGGCCTTCTGGGATTACATGACCTTCAACCAACTTTGTATGCAGTGTCCAGGATTAAATCCAGGGTCTTCCCATTGAGCTACATCCCTGGCCTCCTCTCCTTTTAATTTTTTAAATTTTTATTTGGAGAAAGGGTCTTGTTAAGTCACTAAGTTGCTCTGGCTGGGCTTCAACTTATGATCTTCCTGCCTCAGCCTTCCAGAGTGGTGGGATTACACACATGCACCACCATGACTAGCTAACTTAACTTTTTAATTTTCAACTTTCCTTTCTGTTGTTGTTATCAGAATGCCACTCTCAGAGAATTTCAGCAGAAAAGAGCACCGTCAGTCAGTCTCACTGGTCACTCCTGACCATTCCAGGACCATAAAGTCCTGACCATTCCTTCTGTCTCCAGTGGTGCCCATGATAAGTCTCAAGAGAAAGACAAAGTATCATCTTGGGAAAATGTCGGGGGCCTCGATATGTTGATTATGTTATGATATGACTCCAGATTATATTTTTTTTGAGATGAGTCTTACTATGTTGCCCAGGCAGCATTGAACTCCTCAAATGATTCTTTTCTTAGGGTAGCTGGATTATAGGTGCACCCCAACAATTCCAGCTTTTCAGGAGAGGGTATGGAAACCAGGTCATCCTGCATGCTAAGTACATGCTCTGTACTGAGCTACACTCCCCAGCCCTTAATCTTTTAAATGTAATGTATTTTAAAAAGACCATTCCAAAGCAACCTTTTGTATCTGAATAAGCATAGGTTTTACCAAAAGGCATAGATCTAAAAGCCTGCCTCCCTAATTTGTTGCAGGTAGATTAGCTTCCATAATTGTTCTGAAAACATAAGCTGATATCACTCACTTTGTTGTGGTGCTGAGGAAGAAAGATAACTAAAACACCCTTTATAGTGGCAGTTTACAAAAATTAGACACCTTTGCTGCCCTTCTGAAAAAGCAGATTTTTTTTTGGCCAATTCAAATGCTACCTACCACCAAACTAAGGATCACCATTCCACCTTCCACTTCTCTAGAAATTGGTTCCTTTTTTCACTCCTATACAGGTTGGATGACGTGAAAAACACTTCCTGGCAATTCCCCTAAGAAAAGGAAGCATTATGCTCACTAAACACACGTGAATAGGAGGCCCAAAAGTTGCTTTAAAAGTATCCAGATGCAGTAACATGCCTGTGGTCCCAGCAACTCAGGAGACTAAGGCAGGAGAATAGCTTGAGCTTCGAGTAGGCAGGGTATGTGTTCTGCCAATTCTCAAATCTCTATACCAAAGACTTGGGAACTGAAAGAGAATTATATGAGTACTATTTGTTGCACACCTATTATATGTCAACCACCTGTTAAGTAGGTATCTCAAAAGTGCAATCTCATTCACACCTCACTACAGCCTTAAGAATGGGTGTATTCTTCCCAAAGTTATAGCTAAAGAAAGAGACACTAAGAGCCCGTTTGCTCAAAGTCGCATAGCTAGGGAGAAGCAGAGGAAAGTACTGGAGAAGTAGATATAGTACCGGGGTTCGAACTCCGGTCCTTGTGCTTGCGAGACAGGCGGTGGAACCACTGAGCTAGATTCCCGGCCCTCCTTCGTCACTTCTAACACTCCTTACAGGTGCCACACAGGTTCCGTTGCTCCCGAATTTGATCAGTTCACGCAGTCCACGCTGCGTGCAAAACTGGGAAAACAGGCGAAAAGAGACAGGCACACTTGGGCCCAGTGGCCTTTCACATACACCGCTCGGGCCGCAGTTCTACTAGCATTTCTACTGAAACCAACACGCGTCCGCCGGGACAAGAAGGGGATTCCCAACCAGAACTGAGTTGAGATTTTCTTTCAAGCCCGGGACCCGGAAGCCATCTGGGGACGAGGCGCGCCCCCTCAGGGCCTGCAACTCGGCTCAGCTTCTTTGCCGCTTCCCTCCCTTCACCCAAGCAAGGCTTCACTCGAGTCGGGACACACCGCCCGCCTTAACGCGAGGCCAGACCCTATGCATCTCCGCTCCGGAGGTTCCTTCTTACACAAACCGTACCTGGTTGCCTGAGAGATCATGATCAATCAACTTCATCCTCCCGCCTCGGAAATGACCTAAACCCAGCCCACTAGACTCGCCCAATCCCAGCTTTTACATCGCGCATGCGCATCCGGAGCGAGCGCCTCTAAATTTGGGAAAAAGGTTAGACACCACTCCTTCTTGAGCGCCTGCAGTTCTCCTTCCGGAGAAAAGTTCAGAAGTGTGTTCCTTCTTGAGCTCTGCCGTTCTCTTTCCGGTGGAAAGTTCAGAAGTTTGTCGTTTGGGTTCCGAGAACTTCTAGGAAAGAACAAAATTGGATGATTTATTATTGAAGTCATACTTATAAGAGCGTGGTGATATTGAACCAAAGATTAAAAAAAAAGACCAGTGAAAATGAACAAGTCAGAAACCCATCCCCTTCCACACATACACTAAATAAATTGCCAATGTGAAGCAAAGAGAAAAGTTATTTCAATAGTTTTCGATCCATGGAATGTGTAGATTAAAAGGAAAATAAACTCTGACTCCTATCTATGCAAAATAATCTATTAAAAGTGGATCTCCAACCTAAATGTGAAAAATACAACTCCAATCAATAACCCGCAGAATTATCGTGACCGTGGAAAAGGAAAATGCTTCTCAGGAGAACAAAAAGAGTACCAACCCTAAATTTAATTACGATAAATTGGTTGTAGTTAAATTTAAGACATCAAAGGACCGTTAAGAGGACGAAAGGGCAAGCAATAGAACAGAGAAGATACAAAAATACGTAAAACTGAAAATGGCTTTTATTCAGAACATATAATTCTTGCAAATAAAGTTTTGGAAAGACCCAGAGCAGAGCAGCAGAAGAGAAAGCATGGAAGGAAATTCTTGTGGGTGCTTAAATTAATTAAAAATAAGTAAAAGTTAAAAGTCAGTTCTTAAGTCACATTGACTACATTCCATGGTTCAATATAGTGAACAATACAACAAATGCTCATTACAGATATAGAACATTTCTACCAATGAAGGAAATTTATAAAGCATTAGGAAATAAAGCACAGTGAAACAGCCCTTCTGCACTGTCATTTCCAGTAAATAATTCTACTCCCCTTAAAGACATCTGTCATAGTCTGCTTTGTGTTGCTATAACAAAATTCCTGAGACTTAGTAACTTGTAAACAATAGCAATTTATGTAGCTTATGGTTAAGGAGGCTACAAAGTCCAAGAGAATGGTGCTGTTCACTGGTGTGGGCCTTTGAGAAGTGTCATCTTGATATAGGAGATGAATTATGAAAATATGATATCTCCCAACTTGTTAGATGTCTGATACACAGAGTTTGTGTTTTGTACAATCAAAGAATTAATTCCAGGAACAATGGAGGTTAAGAGTAGGAAAATATTTATTGAGAGGATAGCTCCTGAGAGCTAGGAGGGACACAAATAGGTATCCAGGAATCCCACTATACAGGGAAGTTTCATAGAGCAAAAATCCAATAAGGTTACAAGTATACTCAGGTAATAATGATCCTAGGAAAGAAGTCATGTAATAAGTATATATGGAAAGAACAAATATTTTTTTCTAGGAAGTGATGGATCCAGAGGTCTTTGATACCCAATTGGGTGACTGATGTTTATCTAGATTGATACTGATGTTTATTAAGCCTGGTGTTTGTCTTTTAAAGAAGTATATAGGCCTGGTCATTTTGTCTTTTTCTTGAGGCCTGGTCTCCAACAAGTGTGTCTCTGGCCACAGTTGTGATGTGTTTTTACCTTTGCCTTGCCTCTCTTGAGAGACAAGCCCTATCTAATTGCCTACAATGTTTTTTCCTAACTAAGCTGTCTATAATAATCTCAGGGGAAAAGCAATAGAGCTCTAGGGCAAGAAAAAGCCAAACTCCCTTTTATCAGGAGTCCACTTGCACTTGATTTTAGCCAAAAGGCCGAGAAGTGATAGGAGTCCACTTCCAAAAAGTGGCATTAATCACCTCTTAAAAGTCATACATCAACACTATTGCATTAGAGATTAAATTTCCAACACATGAATTGTGAGTCACATTTATTTATTTATTCATTTATTTTTAATCTTATTGAATTTATTGGTACTTTAAAAGTATACAGTACAGTTACATTCATCGTTAGGATCTTGTACCCTTACATGATAGATCTTGGTTCTCATTATTTCCCCATACCCCTGCCCTCCCTTCACCCCCTCCATCCTCCCCTATTTACAAAGACTTTGTTTCCATTTTTTCCTTTTCTCATATTTTTTCTTGTCCCTTATATCCTTTCCCCTACTCTTCCCACTTCCCCTTTGGGTTACATTTAAATCCTGGAAACACCCATATGTCAGTCTGAAGCCATATCAAACAGAAAAATATTCAGTTTCCAGTACTGGGTTTTCAATGTGGGGAGTCCTGACCAAGAAAGTCCCTTTACAATTATTCTGCTTGGCTTTTCCAGGTATGAGTGGGGTTACTGGGTACAACTCTGTGGCAGGACACAGCAGTCTCATTTCTAGTCTACTGGGAAAATTCTCTGACAGTGAAGTCCTGTGGAAGTAAAAGGACTCTCGACACATACACACATATGCATATGCATGCACATGCGTGTGCACACACACAAGTGCACACACAGAGTCTCAGAAAATTTGCAAAAATGTAAGAGAATTTTTAAAAAGCCAATTTATGTATTCTCTTCGGGACTATTCGGGTTCTATTTGAATCAGAGCATGTCAGTTTAATGTTTGCTGCATCTTAATTTGGTCTTGATGAGCGATGGTTTTATTTGCTCAATCTAAGGGCTTTCACTGTTCTGAGGTTCCTGATGATTTTTTTTTGATGAATTTTAAAAAGTAAAAGAAAGGGCTGGGGATTTAGCTCAGTGATGCTGCCATCTGCCTTACAAGCACAAGGACCTGAGTTAGATTCCCAGGACCAAAAAAAAAAAAAAAAAAAAAAAAAAAAAAAAAAAAAAAAAAAAAAAAAGTAAAAGAAAAGCCAAAATAGAATTACAATAATTATAGAATATTTTTATTTTATTCATTTGTTTTGCGGTAGGGGGATTGAAAGAATATTTTTAAAAATTTTGTTATTAATTTTTAACCTTTTATTGCAAATGACAAATTATAATTATATACTCATTGGGTACAAAGTTATGTTGTTGGGTAGTTCCTTTTAGAAATGGCTCACCAATTAAACTAATTCCAGTTTCTTCTCACTTAGAGCAAAGAATTAATAAGACAAGCCAAAAATGGTGCCAAAAGTTTATTTGAAAAAAAGGGGTAAAGGGTTAAGGGAGAAACTGACTCTGCAGAGAAAACGTTGGGACAAAGAAAAGAGGGAGAGAAGAAAAGAGCAAAAATAAAAGTGCACTTTGTATTTGAGAGATTCAGGGTGACTACTGTGAAGAAACACCATAGCTGGCTCCTCCTGGCATCTGGTCTCTTTTATGCCATCCACAAGTTCTATGTATGAGTTCCTGGGAATTATTTGGTGCTGTGCTGGAATCTTATAATTAACAGGTCCTGCTGATTCCTGCAGCTAGTTTTGGCACACTCTACCTCCTATCTCAATGTTATGCTATGATTGTAGATCATTTAAACTAATTAACATATGCATCACCTCAAATACTTGTCATGTTTTCTAATAAAAATATTTACTCCCTTAAAAATCCAGAAATTATAATATATTATTATTAACTACATTCCCCCCTGTGCATTGTCTCAAAAAATGCACTCATTCTGTCTGACACTTTGTTGGTACTCTTTGACCATAATCTCCCCATTTGCCCTACACCCCATCCTCTGTAATTACCATTCTACTTGCTGCTTCAGTAGTATAATTTTTTCAGATTCCACAAATGTGTGAGAACATGAGGTATTTGTCTTACTATGCCTGGTTTATTTCACTTAGCATAACATTCTCCATGAAATATTTTAGTTTTCATTGAACAAATCAATAATTTAACACTCAAATGCCATGTCATGTTGTTTGAAATTCCAGAAATCATCGAAAAATCTGACTGGCAGTTCCCCAGAGGCTGTGCCAGTAGTAAGGACATGAGGAGTGGCATTTTTTCTTCTGTGCCACCTCATGTCTCTCTGTGATGCCATGGTTCCCCTCAGTAATAATGTCAGAAGTCTACATTTGAAAGCATTTTTAGATATGAAGCCAAGGACAAATGCCTCATCAATTTTCCACAGGGTCCTTTTATTGGGAAAAGCAATCCTGTCAGGATGCATTACAAACTCTTTAGTAGGTAGCACTTGGCAGGGCATTTTTATGATGAAGGACTTCTTTCTGTGTGATTCCGCAGTGGAGGGCAAGAGGACAAGAGCATATGCACATGCAAGTCAGTATGGGCCTAACTTCCCCAGTCTGTAAGATAAAATGGGAAGTGGGAACCTCACCAAATCCCTCCCTAAGGGTATGGAGGCTCATAAAACAAGAAACTGCCAGTGTTGGGGGTAGACATATTTATAGTCAAGAACTTTGGGACTGGGATTAGTAAATTGTAAATGGTCAGGAGCATAATAATTAGACATTCTTTTTTTGTTATTTGTTTTGTGTGCTCCCCTGACTACAGGGAATTAAACCCAGGGCCTTAGCACTGAGTTGTATCCCTAAACCTTATTTTTATTTTGAGGCAAGGTCTTGCTAAGTCCCTAAATTTCCCAGGCTGGACTTGAAGTTTTGATCCTTCTGCCTCAGCTTCCTAGAGTGCTAGGATTCCAGGCATGTGCCATGACACCTGCTTAGTTGGATATGCTGCTGCATCTCTAGTTGTAGGGTCTCTAAGTTGGACCCCTTCCTTTTTGTGTCCTGACTGAAAAATCACAGAGTACCCTGACTGATCTCACTGGCCAGCTGGAAGTTCTTCCCAGAAGAGTTGAGCCAGGCCACGGTCTTTGACCTTCCCAGGCAAAAGCCATACTTCCTTAAACTCTCATATAAATTCCATATGCATGCCACACCCTGACCCCCTCATTGTGGATGTACCTAGGTGGAACAACACTTTCCTTTACTGTCTATTGTGAGGTGTGTGCCTTAGCCCAGCCTTTAAAGTTCCCTTAATGATACTTTAGAATGATCACCTTGGCATTCAGTGCT